GCTGACTAGTTAGGACACTGTTGGAAGACTGGCTAGTTAGTGCATATGGGTCAAGAAAGGTGAAAGGCAGAACAAATCTTCCTATTCTTGCCAGAAAGTACAAGATTTAATTTTAAACCTTAAGTCAGTCAGTAAGTCAGTCATAATTGACTCATACTCAATGTATGCATTACTCATGCATACATTGAGTAATATATGGAAGAAATATCAATGACAATAACCAGTTACTTGAAATCTCAGCTCACAGGACATTGTTTTCTGTTCAAATATTTTCTAAGATGTCAGAACATCTAAGGCTCCTCTGTAAGTCTGAACTGCTAATTAAATTTAACCTAGTCCCCTAGGGGTGATTAACACAATAATTGCAATCACACCAAAGAATACTTGAAAAATGAATTTCAGGGGCTTTCTAGGATTGCAGGGTATAGTCTAAAACACAGACATATTCTGGGCTGAATTAGGGAATACTTCTAGTGAGGTTTATTTTTAATGCAAGAAAAAGATTTAAGGCATAACAAATGCCCTTTGAAGTTCAGTTTAATTCAAATCTTTCCAGCAGCTCAACAATTTAAATATTTCTGAAGGTCTGTATAACCTCTGACATGGTGAAGACATACACTGAGCAAACATGAATAGGGGCGAAAGGAAAACAAGAGATCACATGATCCTGAGAAAAGGAGGTAGTTCTGCCAAACTACAGCATGCCCAGGACACATACAGAATTGTTGATGAAGAGTTTAGGAGACACAACTACAACAGAGTAACTTCTAAAGTAATAAAAATATGGAAATATTCTGACAACAAGCCCGACATTCATGCAGTCAAGAAAAAAAAGAGGATACAAATTAAAGTAAATATATCATCTCATCCTTGTCCTGGAACATGTAAAAATTCCACAAACCAGAGTGACTCAGAACAATAAAAAATTATTTCCATGGACAAAATGGTCTTCATGTTGTAATAAATATATCTAGTGTTCTCTCCTAACAGCATAATAGGTTTTTCTATGTAACAGGAAGGAGAATTATTACTGTAGCATAAAAAAAGAAACAAAATAACATTCATCATGGCTTGTTGGGCTATAGTGAACCCAAGAAAACACAACTGTTTCCTTCTGGCATCCGCCTCTGGGTCTATGGAAAATTCTCTGAGCTTGGAGAGAGATCTTTAGAATGCAGCTACTGTACCTTTTGTCTCTCTTATGATGCTACTGCTTCTATTGTAACTTAACATTTCAAAGATTACCAGGAATACAGCAGTAACATGTATTTTGGTCTGACGAATGTATATGTAACTTTGATTCTTAAGAGTTTCAAGAGGAACTTTATTCGATTCTTAGGAGTTCAAAGAGAACAGAAGTAGGGAGGCTAATATATACCAGTTTCAGAAACACTGTATTTCTTTAAAAGTCCTGTGTCTTTCAAATTAAAGTTTTAGAGGATAAAATGCTTGTGGTTTCTTAAAAGTTAAAACAGCTGCACCAATATGAAAAAACTCGCTTTTGCGCAAGGCCTGTAATTATTTTTCTCCTTAAATATTCAGTCACATCTATATAAACAAAGTCATCAGGATAGGTCCATAACACAAACACTTATGATACCATATTACTTTCAAGTTTAAAAGTTTGTTAAATGTCAAGTAAATAGTTCTGAGAATTGTAGAACCATATGGTATCAAATCGGCAATGTTAACTCCAGGGAAATTTCTGGAGCAGAAACAAGAGAGGCTGAACCCGGAGGCTGTCCACTGAGAACCACAAACTCTTGGCATAGTGGTTCCACGAAGCAGACAAACTCAGCTGCACACAAGGCCCAATATTGCCCTGACACACGGACCCAGAGCAAGTCAGTTATCCTGGCAGTTAGAATACTATATCTAACTATAGAAGTGGGAATTTTTGCAGGAAAAGATCCAAACCATGAGCCCTCAAAGAAACTGCCCATTCTGTGGTTACATAGCCATGGTTAATGTTGACTTAATTAACTTTCAAGAGGAAAAAAAAAAAAAAAAGACCAAACAACACACCCCACCTTTCACTGAGACACTAGTGTTGCAGAGTGGAACTTAGCATTACTCAGGGTGGGGAGAAACTGCCAGACAAACAGCATTAGTTCTAAAGGTTGAGTTGAATAGTTCACTTTAGCCCATGAAATCAGAAATAAAAGGGTAAATTAGAGAAACAACCTTAATTAATTTAAAACCTACTGATATTATTTTCACACTCTAAAGACTGGCAAGGCCTTTCTTCCTCCCCTTTTCACTCTGCATACACTGTCTCATTCCTTTACTTTGTACTCCCATTTCTCTTTGCCTCCTCTTTGCTCGTCCCACCCTTTGCTAAAGATTCCTTCCCTGACCACAGTGGGTTCAGACCACCTCTGCGGCTTCCAACCATCCAACCCACACGTCTTTCTCAAGAGCTGGTACTAGTTTTGAAGTCATTATCTTTTCCTTTTCCTCTTCCTTCCCTCCCCATCTCCTTTTCCTTCTTTCTTTTCTTTTTTTTTTTTTTTCCCCTGGAGTACTATTGTCAAAAACTGTAGAGCTCTTGGTGCTACACAGGCAGAGGCACTGCCCTGGGAATATCTGCATAGTGTACTGTTGTCCTCAAGGGCCTGGAATTTAAATCCCGCTCGGCTACTTATTAGCCAGTGACAGCTTGTTTAACTTTCTGGGCCTCAGTGTTCTCATCTTTAAAATGGGTGGTTAGTTATAATAGTACCAACTTCCTTGGCTCCTCCTGATGATGAAATACACATAAAACACTTAGCACATTATTATTCTCAATAAATATTAGATAGGACTTCTATCATTTTGATGAATATCAGCTTATGTGGACCCAATGATAAATACTTGTGCTATGAAACTGATCCACAAAAGAAAGCTGTTGCTTTTTCTTACATTTGGACAAGTTTCTTATGTTTTACCCCTATGACAGATCCCATCTGCTTTCCAGTGAATTAAAATTACAGTCTTTTCTGCAAAGCCCATGTAAAGTCAGAACACATACACTGAAGACACATTGAAATTTAAACCATGCCCATTTGATTTCCTGCCAGCTCCTGGAATCTGTCAGGCTATGGGGTAGATTCCTTGTGTAATCTCTGCTTTAAAACAGACCCCTGGACGTACTACGTAAGGTGAGAAGTGGGTCTGTCTGGTAAGATGTCCCACAGGACTCAAAGGAGTGTCAGCTAAGATGATACAGAATGATTACAGTTCCTGAAGATAGGACCACTCTAAAGGACTCAATCTAAAGAATTCCCTCTCTTTTTCAATGCCTGGTCCCTTTTCCTACATTTTCTGTTCCTCTCTCTTCTCACCTTCTTTCATGGCCCTCATTTCTATTCCCTCATTTGTCCTTCATGTTTACATCATCACCCTGTCTTCTCATTTCACTCCTTTTGGGTTCTCATGGTGAATGGAAAGAATTGAGGATTTGAACTATTAGGTATGTTACTTGGGATGAGTTGTACTTTCTGAGCCTCGGTTTCCTAATCCACAAATGGGATAGTGTTTTCTCTCTAACAGGGATTATGTAACAAATAAGCTAATACATAGTGCCTGGAACATTGTACTCAAAACCAGTGGTTGCTGATGTTATTGTTTTGCCCTAAATTAACTCAGTGCTTGGTTTGGATTCTGGCTACCTTTCAAAAAGAAATAAAAGACAAAAATAGACCATTTGATTCCAACTCTTCTTTTCTTCTTGCAAAATTTCCCCCACACAAAATACTAGAACAAGTATAAAACCTTACACATTTTTATTGGGAAGTTATATTCCCGGTAGCTTGCAAGAGCACTGAGTAATTAGTTCAATATTCTTTACTTAGATGCCGACATTTTCCAGTTGACCCTGTCCAAAGTTGCCTTTGCTGCCTATTTTCAACTACGTCCACTTTGAATGTTTCACATCTTCACTATGGATGTCGTGAATGTGCTCACAAGGGATGATGAACAGTTTTGTGGTGCGGTTCCATTAAGAGTCTGCACCAACTTGTTTGCCAAGCTGCTTTCCTTTAGCTGCTTCTGCTCAATGGGTGCCAGATGTTATGACTACAGATGAGGACCTTGGCATCGGGTTGTCTGTGGCCGATATGTCTCTGTCCCCCACAGACCTGCCATGTATTGGGAGCTGTGCTATCAACACTATCGCCACTAGGTTTTCAAAGCCCATTTCAATGTTCCAAGTCCCTTTATTACTCATCATATTATAAGAGCTTTGAAATTATACTGTCATCCTATTCATACTCCATCTAGCTCTTAAAAGCTGAATAGCAGCAACATGGCTTTGTTGGTCGTCAAATAGATTCATTTTCTCAATTTGTTGATTTTGTTTTGCCTTTTAATGTTAATTATCTTGTAGATAATGCTGAGGAAGCCACTCAAGAAGCTGATGTAATGTTTCTATCATGTCAAGGCACAGCTGGCTTGAAACTTGTGGGTACATCAAAGTTATGCTGGGTTGTGTCTGGTCACACTCAAAAGTCCACATTTCATTGGTACCACTTCAATGTTCTCTGTTAATCAGCACATCTTTGATCCTGTGGTCACTTGGAATAGTGTACGTTTAGCTGATTTTATAACAATAATGTCTCTATCATGCTTTTATATATCTTTTCTCCTTTAATCAACATTGCAGTTCAACAAACATTTAGTAGATGCCAATTTTTTAAAAAAAAATCAGGCTACAAATATTTAGAAAAACACAAAAGCACAGTCTCTGTGTCTGGGAAGATAGCAAGTCAGTGGGGCAGATATACTTTATGGATATATAGTGATAA